AACATTGTCTGTACAGAATATATCACTGACAGCAAAAAAGGTTAATACAGCAATAGTTGAAAACAAGTAACAAAGAAACATTAACAAATTTCATTGCAGTTTTTGTGTTTTGTTGTAAATGCAAAAATAAATAGCACAGGTAATTATAACTTCACAAATGAAACAATAACCATTTAAATCCCTTATGTTCACAATATAAATGCTGGCATACTTCTGCACTTCTACAATAACTAACATTCAATGGCTCATCATTTCATTTTCAATCAATCTGTGGCGTTCATTAAGAATTTGAGATCATTTATGGCACGCAAAAAGACCTTCAAGCTAGAAATTCTTATACACAAAGAAGGAAAATTTTCGAAATTAAAAGGTACATGTAGATATAATAGCTATAAATTTACTTTATATAACTTAAGGACAGATGATACAAACAAAAAAATAGATGCCTGGATTGGTATATATTTCTTGGTCTGTTTTTTTTTTTTTGTATAACGCAAATAATAAATTTCTTAAATATTAAGAAATTGCAAACCGTCTATGCTATTCAAAATTTCAACTTTCTTAAAACAGCCTTATTTATCTATACAAATATTTTTCATTTCAAATCGCATTATTTTGAAACTTTGAATGAAAAAATAAAAACAATTTCAGGAAACTTGTTCAATTTAACTATTAAAACATGACTCAAGTTGTTATTTTCAATTTCTTTTAATAAAAGTTTCTTTGTATCATCAGTCCTTAAGATGTCATTGTGAATTCAATATTTCATTCATAAACTTTCACATCATCTGGTTTTATTTCAAAGTATGGAGACCCTGATCCTACTAGAAAAATAGTGGATTCTTTGTAAAAGAACCTGAAAAAGAAAATAATAAAATGTGTAGAGCTATTAATGAATATGCAATAATTAATAAATTACCTGAAGATAATGGTACAGTGAAAACTGTCTAATCCAACATCTGAATAATCTGACACACTGTGAATTCCGACGTTAAATTTCTTTCCCATTTTAGTATTTTCCTTGTTTTTAACACCATGCAATCTGACATCCTGTCCATCCCAACACAAAATTTGTCTCCCAGTGCATTTTGAATTAGACAGGAAAAAAAATATTATATTATTCAAAAATAAGAATTCTTTTGATTGACAAATATATCTGTGTAGCATCATTAGTAACAATCATATCACTGGGAATGGCTGCTTTGCATGTAATTTTTCAGGGAAAGAAGCATATATATTCTAAGCAACACTTGAACTAAAAATGTTCAACTGTACAGTGAAAAATAAAAAACCACATATACTACCTGTTCTGTTTCTATGGATAAGACAATGTCTTGCAAAATATAAATACAGTACAGTAAGTCTTATATGGATTTTTAGCTGCAGAACTGTACCTCTCTGGTTGAGAAAATTCGGACTGATAACGCAGAGAGCTACAGATCTAAGCATTGTAAAAACTTTCGATTTACGCCGACGATATTTTGTCACTATTTTAGGTATTTATTACGTGTAGTTTAAGCTTTCTCTGGCTTTTAGAAAATTTGTATCCTATAATTATTCATATATTTACGCCCAACTCTTATTTTTATTTACCTTTTAATGGTCCGAAATAGTCCTGTATATATTGTTTTGTAATGTCGGTTTAAAAGAGTTCCATTTTGACGTCCATAACCACAAACAGCAATTTGTTAGCGTTGAAAGGTAAGTAAGTTATCAGGAATTGAAGTTAAATGTATGATTAATTATTAAATACCATTTTTACAGCTGGGGATAGCATAGAATACAAGAAAAAATACCCGACGTGAATGATAAAAAATCGTCAGCATAAATCGAAGGTTTTTACGACTTTTACAATGCTAGGATCTGTAGCTCTCTTCTTTATCTGTCCAAATTTTCTCAAGCAGAGAGCTACAGTTCTGCAGCTATTGGATTTTATGCATCCCAAAATTTTGCCTATTTTAATCTAAACTTTAACACCGTTTTCTGTAAAATCCACTCTTTAAAATGTTGTCTGATCAAGAGTGATGTCTAGTCTGACCAACCTTTATGAAATAAGCTATATTCAGATTAGACATAATTTACTACATGAAAAGTTTCAAATGGGAAAATTAAAAAAAAGATTATAATAAAACATTATTTGTAAAAACATTTTTACTTCCTAGGATATTAATATCAGCAATGCATAAATGTGAATCTTTTTCAATTTATGACTTTAAAAAAATCCTATATTTGCTATCGAGTGGCTTTACAGTAGTCCTACAACAAATGACAACAGACCTCTATGAATTCTGTTATGTATGATTTAATATGTTCTCTGAATGGACTTACCTTAAGGAATCTTTGTGAAGTCCTTTTAAAGGCTTATCAGGTGCAGAATAAAGTCCAAAACATTTGCATAATTTATGAAATATTGCCCTCTTTGAATCCTTATCAGCAAAATATATCACAAAACTGCCACTGAAATAGATAACTCATGCATCAGCTGTCTGTTTTTTTTTTCTTCAAATTCCAACAAAAATTACAAATATAGAAATACATGGACACAGTAACAGCAAATAAGCCCCGAATTTTGAACAAAGATTTTAACCAATAGATAGGCCTGTGCACCTTTTCAGGACAAAGTTTCACACTGGGAACCTAACTTTTTACTCACCCTTTTGAAGGAAGATCAAGTGTGTCTACTTTACTACCACACTTTTTCAATTCTTCATGAGGAAAAGGTTTGCTTGATTTAATTTTTTCCTTCATTTCTTCTTCGTATAATGTAGATTTCAAGGAATCTAAATTCTTCAACTGAACATTTTCCTCTCTAAAATAAGTAACATGAAGAAGAGCATTTCAAACAATTTTTCATGAAAGAAATAATATCTCATGGTCGAAGTTGTAAGTTCCACAGAAAAAAATCAAGTTTAATGATTTAAATTACAGAAAAAGAATTTTTCTTCACAACAGATGTGTTTTTTCTAAATTTATATCTCTTTGAAAGTTACTTAGGTAGTCTTGGCTTGTAAAATACATGTAAGTTTTACAGAGAGTAACTTACGTAATAGTTAGTCTTGGTTTATAAAATAAGTTTTCTAAGTAGTTATTTGCATCATTAGAGGATTGATAGGGCAATCTAAACACCCGCGACACATCTGGTACAAGCATTTCTCCCGGGGATTTCAGTGTCCATGAATCCCAAGACCTGTAATGATTCATAAATTTAAAAAAATATTATTTCCAATTTCATTTTATCGACTTTATACATATATGGCATATTTAAAAAAAATGCTTTGTTTGGTTGTTACAATAGGATTTAAGGTATGTCACTCATGAAATTTGTTAAATCAAGAATTTTTTGAGTATATTTTGGATAAGTACTCATATAGAATGACTCAAAATGGCAGAGAAAACAGGGGGTCAGTGTGCGTTTTACTGAGCTACGGTACAATTACTTTGACCTTTCTGCACTAAAATTTTAACTCTTTGGTTAATTACTTTAACCTTTATAATATTTTATCGGATGTAACCATAACAATAAATATAATCTTATTTTACGTAAATTAGTTTGAATAATATTTATCATTGAAAAAATCATGCAAATTAATGCACATAAATTATTGTGTTACTTTTTTGCACTAAAAAGTAACATATTTTGGGTATTAAGGCCCATGGGCCTTATAGGTCACCTGAGCATTATGCAACAACTTTCCAGTGATTTAATTTGATTCATGTTTTAAGCCAGATGCTATGGCTTTCACAATTTTGAAAGAGGCACCATTGATCATCATAATAATACACCTAGCAGTTGCTTAGTTTGTTTACTTAGTACCCATAGGCAGGTTGGGGGAACAAAAAATGCATTTTAAATAATCAGTAATATTCAGCAATAATCAGTAATGCCCCTATCACACATGAACCCCTGACCCTTAGGCCTAGATCCAAACATTGCACAATTTTTGAAAAGGCACCCTTGCTGATTAATACCAAGGAGCAGATCTCAAACAATTCATCCAGTTTCAGTATATAAGTACACCCCCCCCTTTGGTACCCCTGACCCTGGGGCCTTGAAATTCACAATTCTGGAAGATTAGGGTCCTTGCTCATCATAACTACATAGGTAGTTCATCTGCTTAATACCCAAGAGCAGAGAAGAAAATTTTCAAAGATTTAATGTATTTTCACTATATAATCAATGTGCTAGAATGACCCTAGGGCCACAAAATCAAAATTTTGGAAGAGGTATTCTTGCTCATCATAACTATGTATAGTTTAAATTCCTAGGAGCAGAAAAGAAATTTTTTCAAAGAATTCATGTATTTTCATTATATAAAATAGAGCCCCGTGCAACCCTGACCCTGGGGCCATAAAATTCACAATTTTGGTAGAGGCACTTTTGCACATCACAACTATGCACTTAGTTAGTTTATTTAATACCCAGGAGCAGAGAAGAAGATTTTCAAAAATTCATGTATTTTCACTATATAATCAATAGAGCCCCGCCCTAACACCAGAACCCCTGACCCTGGGGCCATAAAATTCACAATTTTGGTAGAGGCACTTTTGCACATCACAACTATGCACTTAGTTTATTTAATACCCAGGAGCAGAGAAGAAGATTTTCAAAGAATTCATGTATTTTCACTATATAATCAATAGAGCCCCGCCCTAACACCCGAACCCTGACCCTGGGGCCATAAAATTCACAATTTTGGTAGAGGCACTTTTGCACATCACAACTATGCACTTAGTTAGTTTATTTAATACCAAGGAGCAGAGAAGAAGATTTTCAAAGAATTCATGTAATTTCACTATATAATCTATAGAGCCCTACCCTAGCACCAGAACCCCTGATCCTGGGGCCATAAAATTCACAATTTTGGTAGAGGCACTCTTGCTCATCATAACTATGCACTTAGAAAGTTTATTTAATACCCAGGAGCTTCAAAGAAATAATGCATTTTCACTATGTACTTATTTAGCCCCACCCTAGCAATAGAACCCCTGACCCCAGGGCCATGAATTTCACAATTTTGGTAGAGGACTCAATGCTGATTACAATCATGCAAACAGTTTGACTGCTTGATGTCCAGGAGTAAAGAAGAAGATTTTTAAAGATTGCATTAATTTTAGTGGTTTTTGCCCCACCCCCCAGGCCCCAGGGACCATGAAAATTCACAATTTTTGTTCCCCTTCACCCATAGATGCTTTGTGCCAAATTTGGTTGAAATTGGTTCAGTGGTTGCAGAGAAGAAGCTAAAAATGTTCAAATGTTAACGGACGACGCACGACGACGGACGAAAACAGATAGCAATAGGTCACCTGAGTTTACTCAGGTGACCTAAAAATCTAAATAGGCAAAAAATTATTTTCTTGTATCAGACTTTTTATGACTTTAGTGCTGATCAGTCACAAGTACCCCATAGTTTAAAACAATGAAAGAAAAAGTTGAGGTCAGTTCAATGTTAATTTTGAAATATTGGTCAAAACGTATGATTTTCAGTCAAAAAACAGTGCAAATTTTATCTTGACTTTTTTAAACATATCTTCATTTCTCGGCAAAGTTTGTTGAGGGAAGGTGTAAAATTTTTCTAAAAATATAAATTGAGACCTATATTAAATATTCCTAGCATTTCATAACGAAAAATATTCTCAGAGTAAAAGTATGCAAGGCTAAAGTTCCAGGATATTAAATTTAATAAATGTGCAGATTTGCAGAATTTTTCGCTAAATATCCTTCCACCACAAGAAATAGTCCCTCATAAATCTTGCTTCTTTGTGGATTTTTGAGCAGTTTTTTCATTGAATGTTGAATAATATACATTGTTGAATTTAAATATGTTATGCAAACTGAATTATATCATATAGTTTCTGCGTGAACTTTTCTAAAAAGATGATGAGTGACACACCTTGTTAGATAAAACATTGTATCATTTCTATATATGTCATTGATAGAACAACCAATGCTCAAGAAATATGCAGTGGTGATGTGCCTAACAGTAGTTACTGACTAATAAACAGCAATGGTTTTCTTAAGAAATAAATATGATCATAATATTCAGTGGATGTATTATCTAAAACTAAACAAAAGTTGAAATGAACCTTTTATTGCAACATTTATCCATGGCATTCTTCATCTGGGATTCGTACACAGAACGTTTAAGTAGGAACGCTAGTCCTGGGAAGTCCTCCACTCTGTTTACTTGGCTACGATCTCCAGAAGTGGTCTCAAACCCTGAAGAATAATTGTCACTTACATCAGGCAATTATGAGATTATTATAGGAGTACATGTACTGTATATGAAGTGACATCTATGATGTAAATGCTATCAATACAATCATTAAATTAACCAGATTTTACATTTAGTATAGTTGAATTTTATTTGTTATACATGTAAAACTAGGCAGTTTACATATTTCATTAAAACCATCCATCACAGTTTTTTTTTCTAACAGTGATGATAACAATGTCTATGTATTATAAATATGAATTTCCAAGAAGACACCATACTCATTTCAGCTTGCATTTAGTATTGCACTAGTATTGGCCTTGTAAATAATGTGTTTTTTATTTAATGCTCTGTACATTTTGTGCATACGTTAGTATCTGTAGGCATACCAACATATACAGAGAAGTAATACTGTATACAGAGCTATTTTCGCCCTTTTACACTTGCTAACAATTTTGCCCTGTTTTAAATTCTCCCAATCACACTTCTGTTTAAGAAATTATACAGTATGCTCAATTAAAGATTTGCCCACTTGTGACAAGGCTGAAAAGGGTGAAAACAAAACAGGGACGAAAACCTCCTTGTTTACAGTACACCTCCCTTAACTGTTACATGCTATAATAGATGCCGTCTTACCATTGTAATTAAATGCGGAGATTCCATACAGACTGTCATCTGACTCGAGGGCCGGTAGACACTGCGACATAAAGTCCATGAAATCCGCAGTCAGTACTATCTCCTCCTCTATCACTATCAAATATTTCTGTCAAAATAAACAAGTTCAAAGTCTGTTTTTAATTATTATTATTTTTCTTATTCAGTACAAATTTTGACTGGAAAGGAAATGTAGAAGTATAAATTAAAATTAAATATAAATCGATCATAAATTGATAAATTAACAGTTTCTATTAAATTCATCAAGTTTATACAATGTCTGTATTAATTTGAATATGCATCAAGAACAAAAAGAGAAAAAAATATAGTAAAACACCCTTCTAACTTACATGTTAATAGTGGAATAGAGTTAATTTCCAGTGTACTTTCTGTGTTTTCTGGTTTTACTGACACTCTCTGAGTGATCTACTTCTACTTGAAACTTTCTTTATAATTTGTTTGTACTTACACTTTGTGTTTGTTGAAATTCTTTTTCAATGGCACTGTTCATCTTATCTATAATTTTAAAAATGATTTAAAAATTAATCATTAACTATTTTTACCAGTATTCAATATATCATCATGATCATATATGTGCTATTGCTAATTGATAAAATAAAATACAATCATTCAATTAAAATCTATACTTAACTGTACTTTATTATCAGCTATATATACATGATCAACCACAAAACATTCCATTACTGATATTAAACATGTTTTTTAATAAATTGGTTTCAGCTTTACATACTACAGTGAAAACTTTCTAATCCGAAATGAACTGGGAGACAAATTTTGTGTCAAAATAGACATGATATATTAAGTTGGAACACTTCGAATAAAAATCATGAAAAAAGATGAAATGGGAGTAAAAATAAAGGATGGAAAACACACTGAAATAGATTGTGCATGTTTTCAGTATTTTTAATACATGTACGTTTTATGTAATGATATATGTAATGTTATGATACCTGTAATGCAATGTAATGAAATAATATATGTAATGTTATGATACCTGTAATGTAATGAGACATGCAACCAAGTGCTTTGCATATACACAGGAATGTATAAAACATTATGTGCATTTCACACTGTATGTGACATTCATGTAATGTAATGCACCGATCTTAAATAAAATTCTATGAACTGATGTAACATATTACGCCACAGTTTAAACTCAAAATTCAGAGAATACTCTGATAAAATGTGCAAATTACCAGAAAGTATAGCAACAGCAAGTCTCAAGAAATATAGTAATTTATTTGTAAAAACAGATTTGATACCTTCATATCTAGGTACCGTGCCGAGACTGAAGTTTTGGAATTTAAATAAAGCTGCCAGTTCTCCATGATCCAGGGTTTGTTCATCAACAACTACCTGTAATACATGAAACAGCTGTGATATACTGGTCCATCATTAACATACGCATAAAACCATTATACATTTATTTATATGTCATTTAGTTTATTCAAATATAATTTAAAATTAAAAATATAATTCAAGCACCATGAGAAAAAATTCATTGAAAGAAAAATAAACTTTTTTTACAGATTCTTTCTGGAAACAGTTGCTGTATCTTTGTTAACTTTGTAAAATGCAGATAGAACATATTTCATTTAACCTCATTGAAATTGACTCAAAAGACGATCCTACTAGTACAAACACACATACATGTATATGTAGTTATATTAATTTAGTATTACAGGTGTAACAGGTATTGAGTACACAGACAGGTGTGATAGGGAGGGTGACATGTTATACACACTGTGACAAGTTCAGGGCGGACCCCTGGAAGACTGTGGGTGGTCTCTAGTGTTCTCGCCAAGGCATTATGATCTAAACCTAGAACAAGTACAAGCCATGTTAATGCTCCTTATTTATTTCAGTCTGGACACACAAAATCTAGTTAATAGTTTTAAAACTCTGAGCATATAACAATTTTATTAATAAGGCTAATATCTACATGTAGATTGTGTAAGTAAGATATAGAACATTACATGTAGTACATACAGTCATCAAGGTACATGTGTTAAAAAGAATCTTAATTAAAATCAAACTTTAATTCTTTCTTTTCAAAAGTTGCAGTATGTATCAATGATTTAATTCATTTCTATTGATACCAGAAATGGATTTTTTTTCTCCTTTTTTAACAAAATACATGTTTTAAAATTAAAATTTTATACAATTCTCTGATAGCTTTCCCAACAATAGAATTTCTATTCTGTTGTTAGTATGGACAATGATAAAAGCATACAGACAGATACACATAATTATACCTGCATGGTTCTATAACAGTAATGTACCCACCTGGAATGATAAGAATGGGGGTTCTGTATATCTCATCCTTTTCCTTGGTCTTGTCCTGAAGGGGGACAGTCTTAAGCTGCTCATCTACTCTCTGAGCTGCAATTTAGATAGAAATTTCATTCAATCCAATGTTTTATATGACCCTAGATTATTTATTATGAGTATGGTAGTCTTCAATATAAATATATATATTTTGAAAATTGTATGCTGAAAGGTTTTTGAAATAGATTTCTTACATACTACTTTAAATTTTTGAATCATTTTAATATTTATAGATTTCAAGTAAAAAAGGAAACTTGTATAAAAATTATACCTTGGTCAGAGAAAGATGTTCTTTTTTTAAAACAGGGCCTTGAAGTACAAGACTTAGTGTAGAAATAGCTATGCAAAAAGAAATAGGAACTAACCATCACAGAATTCACTGTAACCGTCGTACTTCTTACAGAATTCTCTCCTCTCTATATTGCGATTTGTACTAATGACTGGAGCAACTTTTACTCCACTGACTAGTAAAACAAAAGATTAAACAATGTATTAAAAATCAATCTTAAAATTGAATCAAATTATGTGTTTGTATTTAATATATAAAAAGATAATTTTCAAATACATGTAGTCATTTTAGTCAGTATTTGAATTTAAAGTGTTTTCTAGAACAAGAACTGCAGGTCCATAGAATGTAAAGGATAACTTTATATTCTGTAAGCCAGTTTTATAGGCCACACGTACTTGTGGACTGGCTAGAATTCATACAAGATCTACAAACAACACCTGCTACTAAATATCTATGGTAACAAAACGGCCAATTTATGAATCTAACACATATAATTACTGGTTTACAATAAACCTTGACCATCTTTTAGAACATTTAAATAATAATGTGTATTGAAGTGTTAAAATTTGTCCTTTTTATGTACAATGTAGATACACAATATACAAGATTGTTTGCAAAACTTACAGTTGTTTGGAAGACAAATGGATTTCTTGATCGGTGTTGGCCAATCTCCATCATATGTAGCAAAGCTGAGCTACAATAAAAAATAGGAGAAAAAATCCATTTCTATTATCTAGAACTAGCTCATAAAACCTCTGTATAAAACTGACCAAATAAAATGCATACTTTCATATATATTTTACACATCTAACTGACCAATGCTGGGTTCTCCACAAGTTTTACCATTGTGGCCCGCCATTATTAAATTTATTTGGGCCATGGTTAAATTTTTATTGCATTTCAGTTTTGACACCTACTTTTTAATGACTTGAGTAGTTGATTGTGTTTATAATACGACTGATGAGAGAAAGAGGACTGTGCTCAATAAACACAGTAGTTGATCAGCGACTATGCTGTGAAGCATAACAATTGAGAATCATCAGCTGTTGTTCAATATAATTACATACATGTACCTCCAGAGTTAATTTTCCTGTACATGAGTAAATTTGGGGGAATTCAAAGATAATAGATTTACAAAATGACATAATGCGCAGTATTCAACTGTAACAACAATAATCGACAAGCATACAATTCAAGTTTGTGCCCAGAAAAAGAATGACTCTTTTAATATTTTCTGTTTTATTGAATGAAACTTGATCTTACATTCACCAGCTTCATAAATCTCTGTAAATACCATATAATTCCTATTAACTGCCCCTACCCTTATAAGTGCCCCCTAGGTCTTTTTCAATTGTCTGGAAATAAGGGCCCCCTGTACAGTGATTAAAATCATCTAGAATCGTATCAAAAGTCTGCCAAAATTTGAAGAAAGTGATAATGAAACTTGTCTATTATCCAATTTCTCGGTGGAAAATGAATCATGTAGCATAATTTGGGTGGATTGTCTTCACTTAAAGTAAAGTTAAACATTATTGTAGTGATTCTTTGAATTTATTATTTTTTTTCAAAAGATTTTTTGAAGTTAAAATGACATTCAATATTATAAAAAGAAACCCCTTTCACAATTTTCTAAGTGCTCGGGGCAGTTAATAGGGATTATACGGTATCTGACTGACCCTTTGAATATCTTACATTCACCAGCCCTGTAGATCTCTCATTACCTAACTGACCAATGAATATCTTACACCAGGCCTGGAGATCTCTGTATAAATCATCAGACCAATGAAATCACTTACTTCCTCCAGCTCTGTGAATCCTTGGATGCCCTTTTGACCGACGAAGTACCAGACATCTCTAAATCTGAGGTTTTGTATTGCACTGCTGCCTAATGCATTGAGCTCCTGCACAGCACCTTGTTCCAGTCTAGGGTCAAAGGTTAATTATTATGCCTGGTACATTAACATGGAAACTAAACATATGTCAATACAGTAAAACACGCTTTAATATAACGAAGTTTTACTTGGATTGAAGGGTAATTTGTTGTATCCATTAAGTTAACAATATATCTGTTTCAAAGTCATAGCGAATGAAATTCACTTTGATGTAAGTCTCAATAAACATTTTAAGTGTGTTCACTGTAATGTTCAATATTTCAGAAAGACTTACCGGTATTTATTATTTTATAATGTCACACAGAAACAGACATGGTGTTAGAGACTTACTTCCTGGATGCATCGTCACTGATGACGCCAATAACAATGTCGCCATCAGACAACTGTTTCATAAATGCCTCCAAGCTTGTGCTGTCTACAGATTTAAATTTAAAAAGAAATTACAATCAATACTTAACAATCTTAAACATATAAAAAGCTGAAATCCATTACTGTAGATCCTGTCATTTTCTCGACACCTTATTTTTGCAAGATAGTTATTTGCTTTTAAAGGCAATACCAAATTTTTGTGAGGTAGGTTTTTGTTGCATGTAATCCTTACTATCAAAAATATACATGACAATGTAATTTTTATGGGCAAAAAGACTCGTGCTCTTATGAACTGAAAAATTAAATTATAGTATCCTTCTTTGCTATTTGCAACCCTTAATACCGATTTAATGGTTTGCGAACTTAATTTTGTTGGCAACATGTTAACAGAGCTTGTAAAATTGATAAAATAACAAATGAGTGATTACAAGTAGTTACATGTGTATTTCCATTCAAATGTGTCTAATATTTGTGTCTTATTTTGTAGATTTTTATTAGTTTAAAAAATACGTCTGACACAACGCATTGCGTTTTTTTCAGTTCTAATTCAATATCACAATCAAAAGCTTTCACTCTCATTCATGCTTGTTTAACTGCAAAAGTTCTTACATAATAGGCCCCAAGACCATAAACTGAAAACAGACTCAAGTCTTTTTTGTTTTTTAATTTTGACTCAAGTCTGTTCTCATGCAGTTTTTGGTCATGGAGCCAGAACCTCTGATTCTTACCCCTGCTGGACTCGTATGTATCAAATCTAGCCACAAGCTTTGGTTCTCTTGTATCCTTGTGTAGAACCACTATGTTGATTCCTCTCCCTGCATTGTTCACTTCTTTTTCCATTATCCTAATAAATTAAAACTTCAAAAATCATTGCAAGAAATTTTTAGCTGATCTCAATACATGAAGGTCTACTTGTTCAATCTTTTGCAAACTTATTATTAATATACATGCTTCCTAGTAAAATAAAATCATTATGATTCAAACTTTTTCATAACTAAAAAATGATAAGAAAAAAATCTTGTACAATGTACTCATAAATAGTACTCTATCGTATAACCTTCCTTAAACAGTATTCCAAGCTGCTGACATAAGCAATGGTTGGAGGTATGTAGAACTATTAACTCACATTTTGCCAGCAACACAGATGTGAGGCATGGAACTGTCCATGTCCCCTGTGAAAACCTGGATGGGGGTCCCTTCACATTTACTTTTCAGCCCACAGTTCTCTAGATTAGATCCTGGCTTTATTATTGTCAGCTCGGCAAGAAGTTTTGTTATGTCTTCCATGGGCCCAACTACAAATGATTCTTAGCATGTAAAAATATATTAAACGATCATCCTTTATTTACTTTCCAGAGTGTCATTTTTACTGTATTTCTATCTCTTTTAGTTAACACAGTAAGCAATTTAATACTATCCAAAAGTCTATCACATCTATTACTATTACAAAGAAAGTGTGCTGCAAAAAATAATCAGGAAATTCCTAAACATGTGTTGACTTACGTGGTATGTGAAAACATCCTTTTTTCTCCAGTGCCGCACCATACTGTTCATTTTCAGTTTTTGGGTTGAACTACACAAAAAATCCAAATGAAAATCTTCAGCAGTTATAAAACATGGGCTTCAGCAGTGGCCTGCAGCTGAGTACAAATAAATACACTTAGGCCTTCTTAAAAAAATGTCATTGTTTGCCCTCTTCTGGACAAGGATTAACAAAAAAATTTAGTACAAGTGTACTTATAGGGGGAAACATATTTAGAAAAAAATCTTTGGATTCGGAAATAAAAATACTGTTAGCATATTACATTTGGCTGTGTATTCTATTTAGCATCTAGCTTTTGCGGGAAGCATCATCTGCTAAATCAATACATCACTAAATGTACCTTTTTTTATATATTCATATAAAGCACATTCGGGGAGTCATATCAAATCTATGCTAACTTTTTCAACTTGTGCCAAATATTGTACATGCCAAATAAAAGACATTTACAGTAATTGTACTGGATGAGGAAGTTTTGGAATGAATACATAATAAAAAAGAATATTATTTCTGGAGGTTAAAAAAAAGTTTCCTGTTCAGGTGAGCTAAAGAGTACAAATTCCTTCCAGTAATGATTTTCTTAGTTAAGTCAATACACACCCAAAGAATAACATCATAGCTAAATCCCAGTGTGAATATTTGCATGCAAAAATTAATTTTCATCAAATACTAAATAATAAAGGAATATTTGTAGATGTAGTGAGTAATATGGATATATCACATTTGTTTTACTTAGTTCTTCTAAAATAAGATAACTATGTACTCACAAACTCGATAGCATGTCCCTGCTTCAGGCCTCGTTGACCAATCAGAAGATAGGATTCTCGGAATTTCACCTTTTCTATCTTACTGGCTCCCATCAGCTTCAGCCATTTCTTTGCATCATCCTTCATACTAGAAAATCACCAAGAATTGTAAAAATAAAGGAAAAGAAAAGCAGATTGAAACTAAGAAAGTATGGCAACACAAATGAATTACTATATGTTTATTAACATGTATTTTAAAAAAAACACACACACACAATATGGACTGATTATACTCTTTTTTTTCTATATGAAATTCATGCCAAAAATTAGTAAGAGAGTACATTTTGAAGAATTAAAATCATACATTTTTCCTTTATTTTTTACTCTAGCAATCCTATATCTTTAAAATGAATCATGTGTTAGTCATTGTAGTACAATGCATAAATAATATGGAAAAAATATGAAGGAATTGACAAATAATTATTAAAAGAAACTCTTATATATGCTTTATAGATCCCTATCATTATTTCCAGTAAATAAATGTTGTAAAGTTCTGAGAAAGTTATGACAAGTTGTTCAGTTTTATCTCATATAAAGGCATATAAATGTCTTGTCAGACTTTACTTTAATCTGTCTTAGCAAAGAAAGATACACTCCAATAAATACACGTTTTATACACCTATCAACTGCCAGACTTACAAAAGACTGAAAAAAAAACAACAGAAAATTGTATACACTCTGACAAATGGATTCACCATGGACTGATAACTTTACACAGAACAAAAAAGTTATTCATGTTGTGATAAAATTTTCGAAACATGGCACCAAAGATTAAGAAGTTTAAAAGTAACCTACGAGTAGGTGATCTCATCAAAACTGGCCAGTATGACAACGGTTCCATCTTTGATTTTTAACTGGACAAACTGCAAGAAGGTCTGATCTGTAAAAAATTAATAGCCTCCACCTGACATACAAAGCCATAATATATCAAATTACATCTAGTAGTTGTATATTGTAAACCAACTACGCTGTATTATTCGTGTCATTTTTTATTCGGATTTATATGTCTGTTTGAAATCAGTCCTAGACAATTATTTCTCATGACTGAGGAAACATTCTCTACAATTACAAAGCAAAATAATTGGCTTACAGCGATTAATAATCACAAGTTAAAGTAGACTGCCAAACAGAATAAAAGTTGGTTTACAATATATTAACATATGGTATACAGTCAAATCTTGTTATCTCAAGCACATTGTTACTGAGGAAAAAACAACAAGATAATGTAAAACAACTTTTATTCGCATCATCTTTTATTCGCGATTTGTCAATTTGAAATAAATCCAAAACACGAAATTTTCATGACTGAGGAAGCGTTCTCTACAAATACTTAAGGAAAATGAATGGTTCACGGTGATTAATACATGTATCTGCGAGTAAGAGTAGATCTCGGAACTTGTGGATATTTCTCGCACATGTATAAAAGTTGGTTTACAATATCCAAAGATTTAAGATATCTAGGGTAAAATACTTAAGAATAAAGAGTTGAGACTTCAAAATTTCTACGACATAACCATGGTATTCAAGATATCAGTGTTTGAGAATCAGAAGTTTAACTGTACATGTATCATGTATTTTACAAATATTAAATGTTAGATCTTTAAGATAGAATTTTTTGTTTATTTAAACGGATTCAAAATTTTCTTCATGACAAACGAAAGTAACACAAGTTTAAAGTAAACAGTTGGGAATTTAATTTTATCATTAAAAGATCTACAGGTAATGGTTTTACACATGCATTTTCACATTCACATAAAGTTATTACATAAATAATTTCATTTATCAATTACAGTGTATTACATGTACATGTAAACAAGTTAAAGTTTACATAGACTGATACACTGTACCTGAATTAATACCAATTAAGCTTTAGTTCCCATTCATTTGTCAATAAACTTACTATTACTATCTTTACCAATAACAATTACTAAAGGTAACTGACCATGTGGAACAAGTAGATTTCTTTTTTTATATAATGTGAGTTGCATGCAGAGGTTGTTTTGTTTCTCTGGGATAAGAAGTAAAGTACATGACAGTAAGTACATGTATTATTTAGACCTGAGAAAGCTAGTGGGAGAAATAACCTATACATTGTTACCTACCTTCAGCGTAGGTGTCAAAGACTTTCTGGTCTATAACTTTATGTGAATCACCTAAAACAATTACAAATGTATTCGTAACTTAAATGTTAAACACAATTCCTTCGGAGTATATCAAACTTTACTGTATCATCATCTCAAATCTGAAAGCAAATACAATTCATATAATCAAGTCATCAAAAAGAAAATTTTACCATCAATAAATAGTACATTGAGTCCTCTTCCTATATTTTGTTTTTCATCGCTCATATATCTGAAATTGAAAAAAAATTCATACAAAAGAAAATGAAAATGCAAACAAAATTTTTGCAAAACTAAACTCTCATCAAGCTTTTCTTTCTTCAATATTTGAACCAAACATCAAAATTAAGCTGCATTCAATACTTCAACTAATTTTAGCTACTTTAAAGAAATGAATATAATGTTTTTTCAATTGGCAATTCTCAGTGACTCTGCTACACTCCATCCCAGGGGTGCTGGGATAATGGGCGCGATACATAAGTTAACGTGCAAAGGTAGGTTCAGTAATTTCTTTCTGCATTGAATGCAACCCTGAATCCCTTCATTGTAACTAAACTGAATGATAATGTCAATCAATTGACATAAAAATAAAACAGAAAATATCTAGTTGACCTAAGTAAACATATTGCAATAAATATTAAATTGCAATTGTAATAATGGACATATGTCATTGAATTATAATATTGAACAGGATCTCGCACTGAAATTCTTTTTTCTGTGTAGGATTTATTTATGCTATATAAATTTAAATAAAAGGTCACAGATTATTCCTTTTGTCAGAGCATCATTAAAATACATTTAACACATGTAATCAAAGACATCAAAAAGATATTGTAAACCAATAGTAACTCAGTGTGGCAAAAGTATGTTTACAGTAGATAGCAAAATTTCATACGACAAAACAAAATGATTAAATTACATGTACTACATACATCTCTCCGTCATAACATATAGTGGGTCCCACAGTTTTATCTGTCCCCGTCTTTATGTAGAATGATTTCTGTCCAGCTGGGCAAGACACACCACAGGCAGAACCTAAAAATAAACATTACGCAATTAAAGGTGGGAATACTGTAAAAGCAGAAATACTTTGGGGGAATTTAATTTTGTTTATTTCATTATTAAGAAATATCAACATAATACAATTTCACACAAAATCTTTGTCATTATACATTTATATCAAATAGTGTTACGTTTGAAACAACAAAACTTAAAGCCTTTGAAATCTTTTAAACGATAGATCAACAAAACTTTATCTCCACAAAAAAATCTGTGCTTCTACATGGTGATAATGATAGAGCACCACATTCATAAACACCTCCTTTATCTCATAAACTAGAAAAATGACCAGTCAGCAAGGGCCCCGCCATGGGGTAGAATTATAAGGGTGCAGCTTATGGAATGATTAAAAAATATATGACGAATAAGAAACAGCAACTGTATTCTTAAAATTTCAAGATAATTCCTGAATATCCAAAAACCTGTAAATAATATCCTTGTATTTACATTTATAAGGCAGTAAAGAACAACTCAACACTGAATGTATATCTAAACAGTAATGAAGCTTGTGTTATGTGAAATGCCAGCCTTCAATGAATGCAAATACATATCATGAAGGCTTGACCTTAAGGATTTCCATCCCTAATGGGACCAAATTCCCTACCTGTCAAGTAAATAATACTCTGATATTATATTAAAGCATTTTACAGTAGAAAAGGATTGACTGCAAGAAAGTTTCAAAATTGTCATTAATTAAGCAGTAGTTAATTAACAAAGACTGCATTGAAGTCTATGGGGAAAAGTGTTTTTTTTTCAAAGTAAAAATTCAAAAAATTTGAATATCAATAAATCCTGCGGTGGAAAGATGCATTGAAACATTAAAAATAGAATGACAATTAAAAAAAAATTTTTTTTTCCCAGCCAAATTTTTTTTAATTGATTTTTTTTATTAATTAAAAAAGGGGAGGTAACTCTTACCTAAATTCAAGGTCATAAATTAGGACACATCCCACTATTAATACTAATAGTAATATATGGGAAGTATATGTCTAAATAAACTGAGTTTTCAATGCCTACATATTTGTTATGTATTCAATTTCATTGAATTTTGTTCCTATTAGGGATTGAATACCTTAACTTCAAAACAAACAGCAGTTGCAGACAAAGGTTTTCATTAATCTTAAAGTGACAGATAAAGATGAGCCTTCTAAATTTTCTGCAGCAGACTAGATATTTAATCCCAAGGGATTAATTGTACTTCTCTCTCATCATTTTCTTCTTAATTTATAATAAGAACTTTTTCAGTAATGATAGAATGAGGTTTTTATCCTACTGCCTTAAAAATTAATAATATTCTTGAATTTTCATGAAGCAAAAAAAAAAATAATAATAAATTAAAAAAAATAAATAAATAGATAAAAATAAAAAATATATCTTCTTTAATCTATTTCTTGTTTTTAGAATTCAATGAAATCAGAACTCATTGTGTAGGGTATTTCAACAAAAATAAAGTAAAAACATTTATACTTCAATCCACATTTCACAGTGTTCATAGCATTTCAAATGGACTTAACTTCAAAACAAACTTCATTTGCAGACAGAGGTGGTAATTAATCTCAGTGTGACAGATAAAGATAATGCTTTGGATTTTCTTCAAGAGGAAAGCTAATTAATCCCAAGGGACTCATTCATTGCAGTATTCAGTTTACAATGGGAACATTTTCAGAAGTTATCTCTCTTTGCCAATTCATTCTTATATAAAGTTAAGGAATCTACCCCACCACCCCAGCTCCAAACCAGAGGACATAGAGAAACAAACTTAGCATCAAAATATGTCTTTTTGCCTACTGAACTACCATACCAAATTTGAACTTAATTGGGCTACCATAAAAAAAGTTATTAGGAAAAAACAGAAAATTTGTGGACGGAAGAATGACAGACGGACAGACAGATGGACGGACAGACAGACAGAGTGATTACTATAGGGCACCCGCAAATCCTTGCGGGGCCCTAATTATTATTGTCATTATAATCTATGCATAAATATAAATCAAAAATTTAATAATCATGATCTTGATGATAATAAATCAATAATTTTCAGAATACATGTGTAATATGAAATGTACACAATACTTATAGCTAAATAACTGAATGAAGACAGAACAGAAGAGATAAAGATGAGAAGTTATCTGTTTTATACCAGATTGTGTGTCCTTCACATCTTTGGCATCCCACACTCTGGATTCTACCAGCAGGCTTACACCTAGACAACACAAGAATTTAGTGGGACGTTATCAAAACTCCAGGGATCATTACAGCAGGCTTGAGAAACACCTCAAATGCACCAAGACCATCAGAGATTTAAGAGTAATAAATGCAAAATGAATGCACCTATAACAAGGGATTTAGACAGTGTTATGAGCATGTTCAACAGAATTTTAAATGACAGTGATATCTGAAGCAATTTTAGGCAATCTTATTGAATCTCTTTTTAAACTACCCAAAATCAAAAGAGTGTTTTCTCTAATATCTTTTAGGATATCTTGGATCCTCAGAGGATTTCCTGATTGAGACTTTAAAATACCTTTGCTGTGGTTTCTCCACTTGGTGTAAAGGTCCAGCATAATGAGATTGTTTATTTTTTGGTTAATAAGCAAACAGTACAAGTGATAATTGAAACAGCACTATAAAGTATAAAATAATGATTATGACAAAAACCAGGAATGTAGTTTTTGAGATCAGTTTGGCTTTTTCTCCAGCCTCCCCTTTTTCCCAAACATAACATTCTACTGCTGAAAATATTCATTAAAAGGGTGGCTGCCATCCCTTCCCCCTTTTGTAACAGTTTACTCATCCCACAGTACTATATTTATAAATTTTGTTTGTGGATATTGTTGGAACTTAAATAATCATCTGTCCCATTCTTATCACGTTTTGGACATTTTTTTTAATGATTACCAAAGCTTTTTTCCTGGCTGTCCCATTGTTTTAAAAAATTATACTACATGCTTGAATATTGATTAAAATTAGATGCAAAATATTTACTGCAAACCACATATTCACTTGATATTGTCGGATTAAAATTAGATGCAATATTTAATGCAAACCACATATATACTTGATACAGCTGTTACAAACCTTTCTGATCTTTTTCATGTTTATGGTGAAATCGGAGAAGTAAAAGAGATACAGCTAATGCAGCGAGAATCCATAGAACCAGGGGTTTACATCCTGTTACACAAAGACAAGAAATTCAAGTTTTAAAAAAGCATCAGGAAATACATGAAACAATACCTGAAATACATAACAAAATAAGCAGTCACATAAAATAAATTTTGAAAAGGTTCATATAAATATTTTTTCTTTTTCCCTAATTGTGTAATCTTTCAAAACTGCTGTATGTAACTCATTTATGATAATGAAAATATAAAAAATATATACATGTATATATTAGTGTTTACTTTAACACTCAAATGCTTTCTTTCTTTGTTAAGGCCTAAAAAAAAATTATGTTTGTTTCCTGTAACCCGACCGACCCATTCAAATTATCCCCGGGTGGATTTTTTTTTCTGACAAATGGCAAAACTTCGTTTGATCAATCAGCTGATTCCATTTATTAAATTAAAAAAAATAGCTTGTAGCTTAATTTGAGACATAAAATATGTCAACTTAGTGTACATTTACCTTAAATATAAAGAGTAATCATTATTGTAACAACAGTTTCCCCCTACAACTTTCTGAAGTTTGTTTTCTGCATCTAGGCAGCCATTTTGGATGCCATGTTGGGTGTCCACTGTAAATATAACAGCTGGTATTTTCAGTCCGGGGATGTTTGACCATTCATAAGCAAAAAAAAAAAAAAAAGAAAAGAAAAAAAATTCTGACCTACCGACCCTTAATTTTTTAAGAATGTTACAGGAAACAAACTTATTTTTTTTTAAGCCTAATGCAAGAAATAATGGTTGCACCTCTTGTAGATTGATTGATTTGATGTAAATCCTATTCAAGATTTTTCTACTCATAAAAAGATGTCAACAAAACCAATGACAGCCTTAAAATGTAGACATTTAACTTATCACTCTGGGCCATTGAGCAGTAAGGGTTCTTTATCATGCTAGTGCCTGCCATGACAGGGGGCCTTAGTTTTTTAAAAGGTCTTAACCCAAGGACTCACAACTTTCACTTCATATAGTGCTAAATGACTGGCGAGGGAATAGTTGCTACCTTATTATTTGTCTTTGGTCAATCACGACCAGACTTGAACCTACAACCTTCCAATATTTAGTTAAAATTTCAATTCTTGACATAATTATGTTCTTCATGCAATCCTTAAAACAGGGGCAAGTCTTCCCACTGACATCATTCTTAATGAAATACAGGTAAACTTCGGTATCTCGACATCGGATATGTCGACAACCTGGGATATGTCGACGTCCGTCCGCGGTCCCGGCATTATTTACTATATAAATGATTTGCAAATCATATGACTCACGACCTCGGTAATGTCGACTACCCCGCTTATCTCGACGTATATTCACAGTCCAAAGAGTAAAATTTACCTGGTATATGTCGACATCGGGGCAATTTTCTGCTCTACTTAACCTAATTGTTAATCAGCTGGTCGCTCGTCACGCACGGGCGACTCGGTGTATCTCGACGTCGTCAGAAATTCACACCTTTCACACCCATGTTTTGACTACTACTGATCTGTAAAAATGTGTTTGTAGAGGAATCCCAAGCCCCCTCGGCGTCTCTAATACGTTAATTGTTTAATGATCAGCTTGGGTAATATCATTGATAAATCTTCTAGATTCTGCGTAAATGTATGTGTGTAACCGGTTATTTATGTCGAAATCTAACAAAACTTAAACATTTTATTTAAAAAAAAAAGTAACTTAATAACAATGAATAATATACACATTTTATTCAATTTAACTTGAAAATTCAACAGGAATCGATCAAAACAACGACATGCACGACTATTGCATCGGCCGTAATATGGATGAAGTTTGTTAAATGCGCAATTCCAATTAAATTTTGGTATGAAAATGAAATGAAAACTAATGATGAATGATTATGAAATAAAAAAGAAGTGAAATGAAATAATTTTATAAAAATAATCGCATTAATCTTTTTCCGTAACTCTGAAGTCGACTTTGTACCGCTCCGGTTTGGAGTTTATAAAGCGCATTTCGTATCCTGTTCTGACAGAGCTAGTGGCACGCGGATCGAATGCTGGATGGAAAACGGTTTTTAGTCAAGGTTTCGATAAAAAAGAAAGCATTTCATAAATAACATTTGTGAATATAGAACTTTTTAGATTTTCTAATAAATATAGAGGGATAGCTGAAACAAACGAGCTACAGTCTAATTGAAGACATGTAGGTACCTGTAATTACACGTCTGTTCAGTTAAGATCTATGGTTTTACTATGAAGTAAAATTAAGGACGTCGAGTCTCAACTCTGATATCTCGACACCTCGGATATCTCGACATTTTCCGACTGTCCCGTCGATGTCGAGATAACGAAGTTTACCTGTATGAAATTTCCATTTATTCACTGCAAAGAAGAAGCTGTATCTATACATGTAACCTTTCCTGTTCTTACCTCCACATGACCTATTTATGAATCTTCTCCCCCGCCTGCGCATCCCTGTCCTTGATTTCATTTGTCTAGCATCTCCTCAAGTTCATCAACTTACTGCAAAAAACCATGAAAAGAATGTAAGCCATACAATATCTGGCATTTAAAATTAAATGTAAGCTTAGAACTTGGGACATCCTCTTCATTCATCACTCATACATCATCATTTTTTTTTTTAATTCTAAAGTTATAAGATGGTAATCACCAGATTTGACTTATCATTAATCATGTTAATATAGAAAGTTCAGACTGCATGTTATTTTATCCTTCAACAACTGATCAATTGTTCTGTCTTCTGATACTATTTTCTAGTATTATGATGAAAATATATTATGATGAAAATATATAATCATCAGTTGAAAGAGCTAGCTACAAATATCTTTAAAGCAGGTCAGTTTTTAGCCTTTTACTGTACATAGTGCCCTGATATTATTTTCAGCATTGTCAAGCAGTACCCAAATGTTACTTTAACTTGTAAGGAACAGTGGGAAAAGTTCAAGAACTGGAGATTCTAACCTTAAATATTGGCAATAAACATGATAAAACGGTAAACCAGTTGCGCATAAAAAATAAAATAAAATATGAATGGGTTTGTCTGCATTCCTTAAAAAATTAAACAAGGTTAACGATGCAAGCTGCTTAGCAGCTCGGTTATTTACCCGGTTAATGTTATCAGCAGTTTGTTCCGCCTCGTTCACTCTGACGATCTCTCGCTCGCTTCTTGTATCGGAAATCATTAGGAACAGAATACTAGCATGAATACTCTTGGTCGAACTGAAATGTTCCGGAATGTTAAGATGTCTTCCCTCAACCAGTGCAGGGACCCATACTACTAGTCTACTGTACTAGTATGTGTCATCATAGAATACTTCTGAGCATCATTCAAGTGGCCAGGAAAACCACATTCTATATGACTGATTTTTCCTGAATTATCTATGATAATTTGTGCATGTACGGCATGATATTTTCGATGTCCCGAGTAAAATAATCTTTGAGGTTCAGTTTGTCACTGTTTAAGGAATATAAATTCTTATCGACATTCCATCTATTGCCCCCACCGCGGAAGATAATTTTGGCCATGCATGCATCGTGTTTCTCCATTCTTCCACATAGGCGTCGGAACCGGGGGGCTGGGGGCCCCCCACTTTTTTGCAAATATATAAATATATACATTAAATAGGCATTGAAAACTGGGGTTTACCTTTTTTGCTGGTTTAGCCCCCCCCCATTCAATTAGCCCCCCTTTCGATTTGCTTCCGACGACTATATGTTCCATGATGCTTGGCCATTTTATGCTGGATCGCAGTACTGCGTGGAAAACATTATTTTGTTAAAACTTTTACTTCCTCTTTAACGATAGAAACACTGATATCAAAAAGTCGCGACAAAAAAATAATAAGAGGGATAGTTGCAAAGACAAATAAGAAACAAAGGGGTCCTGTTTCTTGGAGATAAACTGTGCCCCAATGTTGAAAGTTTCAAAGTCTTTAGATAAAAATCCATATTGGTGACCGGAAAACAAATGAAAGACGTCTCTATTATTAGTTACGGGGAGACTAAATATATTCAATTCCTCTGCATGTATAAAGACGGCGCCTTACATCTTTCAAAGGATCGGGGGGGGGGGGGGTTAAAATCACCAATCATATATATAGTCACTATATGTTTGATAAAAGTTGCGAAGATCAGGCGGATCAGACGCTACCAGTGTATTATAAAATACATTTTGATATAAAAATAGAAAAAGAGAAATTATTTTTTAGAAATCTTTTTCTTTACACTTTTACGCAAAGAATTTACAAACTTCTCTGGAAAACTTGTAACTATTTCATTGTGACGCAATATTAGTCAGGCATATGACGTCACTGATACATCAAGGGAAACGTGGATTCAACCTGATTTATAGAGCCAACTTTAATCTAAATTTTACGTTTGGAGGCGAAAATGAATTATATTTTGAAAATAAATTAGTTATTTTTTGTTTAATAATTTTCTTTGGTGTATCGAGTCTAAATTTCACTAGGAATCCGAAAAAAAGTAGTCTGGTCCCCTTCCCACAATTCCGTTCGCGCACTCTCTACATTGATGTAGAGAGTGCGCGAACGGAATTGTGGGAAGGGGACCAGACTAGATAAAAAGGTGTTCAGCAGATTTACCGATTCCACGGGAGATAACTCTTGCATCGCAAAATTTCATAGAAACGTCTAAATATTTTGCCAGAAAACAACTATCAAAAGTGTTTCCCCACCGATTTTATTTATTATACAAAAAGATGAAATATTACTAGATTTAGTTAAGTGTGAATTATAGTCCTGTTAAAAATGTATTAGAAATTACAGTTCTTTGTTTCTGACCTACATTCAATGGTTTATATAGTGGAATTCAAAAAAAAAACAAAAAAAACACAAGGATATTTTACTAAATAAGCAATTTTCAAACAAATCTTCAATTACATTATTCCTTTTGGACTACATTGATATTGTTTTTAATAAAATATCAAATATTCCTCACATTCGATGTGCCGCCTATTAAGAGGCAGTCCACCGAAAAACCGGGCAGTATTGTATTTAAAATATTAACCTTTGAATCATAGTAGTTTTCTGGCAAAATATATAGCATCGTCGGAAACCCACGGGTGATCTCGTCTTTACATACGAGATCACCCGTGGGTTTCCGACGATGAATATACAGACGCAATCTCCCATGCAGAGTTGTCGTTCGTTCCTCTCTCAGACAGTGAATGTATGAGCCGATGGTAGAGAGTGATATCTATAGACGTTTTTATGAAATTTTGCGATGCAAGAGTTATCTCCCCTGGCATCGGTAAATCTGTTAAACACCTTTTTATCGGAATCCTATTGAAATATTTAGAATCGATACAACTAAAGAAATTATTAAACAAAAAATAACTAATTTATTTTCAAAATACAATTCATTTTCGCCTCCAAACGTAAAATTTGAATTAAAATTGGTTCTATTATTCAGGTTGAATCCACGTTTCCATTGATGTATCAGTGACGTCATTTACCTGACTAATATTGCGTCACAATGAAATAGTTACAAGTTTTCCAGAGAAGTTTTTGTAAAAGTGTGAAGAAAAAGATTTTTTAAAAATAATCTCTCTTTTTCTGTTTAATTACTCTTCAGGGTGCATTATACTAAATGTTAGATAATATTTTTATACATACAGTAATTAAAATGTGTAATGTATATTTAGGCAAGTTTAATTTCGCCACTGATTGAATTTGACTCTTTAATTCCTAAAATAAAAAAGAAATAACTTGGAAATATGATAAATGATTACGCTAGAATGCTGTCTGCTTTCAGTTCTTACATATTGCATGTACAAATACTTTTTTAGCTCTTCTGAGCCAAAGGCTCAAAGAGCTAATGCTATGGCCATTTGTGCGGTGTGCGGTGTGCGGTGTGCGTTAACTTTTTAGAATATGGGCCATAACTCAAGAACCCTTTGGCCAATCAGTACCAAATTTGTCACAGGGTATCCTTGGCCCAAGGGCTACCATTTATATTAAAATAAGGGTTGGAACCCTAAAACAAGGGGAGATAATCAGGAAAACAAAACCAAAAGTACTAGTTGCTAAAAAATCTTCTTCTCCAGAACCACCGGACAGATTTTCACCAAACTTACATACAAGGATCAGGATATGTTGAAGATTAAAAATTGTTCAAGGCATGACCCTGGGGCAAAGGGCGTGGTCTCAAGGTCACTTTAAAGTTGACCTAAATTTACAATTAATAAAAATGTTTATATTTTGCTTACTATAAGGACTAGGATCATCAAATCTTGTAAGTTGATGCATCTTAGGTCTTCATATCATGTTAACTCAAAAGTAGGTCACGGTGACCTACTTTTTTAATTTTGCGGGCATTTGTTTTCAAATTGATTTGAAGGCATATTTTGGACACTTTAAGGCCTATGATCACCAAACTTAGTCAGTTGATGCATCTTGGGTCCTTGAACAACGTCAACTTAAAAGCAGGTCACCGTGACCTACTTTTTGAACTTTATGACTTATCCTTTTTAAAACATTTAATCCCATTATTTTAGGCACTGAAAGGGTTAGAATCATCAAATCTTGTAAGTTGCTGCATCTTGGGACCTTAAAACATATTTAAGAAAAAGTAGGTCACTGTGACCTACTTTTAGAATTTTGCAGGCATATGTTTTCAAATTGTTTAAAAGGCATATTTTGATTACCTTCAGACCTAAAATCATCAAACTTGGTCAGGAGATGCATCTTGGGACTCTGAAAAATGTCGAACAAAATGTAGGTCACGGTGACCTACTTTAGATATTTTATGGCTATATTTAAGTATCTCCGGTACTTAATCATCAAACTTTGTCAGTTGATGCATCTTGGGTTTTGGGAGAATGTCGACCAAAAAGTAGGTCACGGTGACCTACTTTTAACATTTTATGGCTATATTTAAGTATCTCCGGTACTTATTGGCTTAGAATCATCAAACTTTGTCAGTTGATGCATCTTGGGTTTTCAAAGAGTGACGACCAAAAATTAGGTCACTGTGACCTACTCTCAACATTTTATGGCTATATTTAAGTATCTCCAGTACTTATGGGTTTAGAATCATCATACTTTGTCAGTTGATGCATCTTGGGTTTTCAGAGAATGTCAACCAAAAAGTAGGTCACGATGACCTACTTTTGAATATCTCAGGTATTTATTGGCTTAGAATTATCAAGCTTAGTCAGCAGATGCATCTTGGGACTCTGAAAAATGTTAACTAAAATGTAGGTCACGGTGACCTACTTTCGACATTTTATGGCTATATTTAAGTATCTCAGGTACTTATCGGCTTAGAATCATCAAACTTTGTCAGTTGATGCATCTTGGGTTTTGGGAGAATGTCGACCAAAAAGTAGGTCACAGTGACCTACTTTCGACATTTTATGGCTATATTTAAGTATCTTAGGTATTTATTGGCTTAGAATAATCAAACTTTGTCAGTTGATGCATTTTGGGTTTTCCAAGAATGTAGACCAAGAAGTAGTCCTAATTGGCTAAGAATCTTCTAACTTTGTCAGGTGATGAAACTTTGGTCTTAGGATACTTAGGGTTAGAGGCTTCGAATACAAGTGATAGGTTGTACAATTTATCAGAAGAGCGATTCAAGGCCCTTGGGCCTCTTGTTTAAATACTGAGTATCAAGAAATCAAACATTTTTTACATGTAATCTTCATGTACGTAGAAGTCATTAGTAATTTAAATCTGTGGATACACTCATTTGAAAACAGTTGACTAAATGAAAAGAAATAAAAGACAAGAATTTTTTTCTGATAAATTAAAATGAAGAGCCAAATTTGAGAAACATTTCTAAACTCACGGTAAAAATCGATCCCGATTGAAATAAAACCGACCCTGATCGAAAATAATGCAAAATTAATAAATTTATCAAACTAAAGACACCTACCACCTATACGACATGTAATAAAATAAATCAAGTAATTTTTTAATCATATTACAACAAAAGAGCCAAATTTAACTTTACAATTATTATAGTATTTTCTTCTTTATATAATTCCGGTCGGGATCGGTTTCATTTGGGAAAGTTAAAAAAAAATAGGTTAATTTGACTCCTTTTATTTCTTTCAATATACTTGTTCCCAGTGATTTTATTGAATGGCTCAAAAGTTTGTACTTTGTATTCATAACAACAGAAGAAAAAAATTCTGTCCTTATAATGTATTGGGTTTTAACTTTTAAAACGTAATGAAAATTGGATACTGAATTCAAAAAGTCATTTGCTAAACTCAAATTTGGACCATTTAATTTTTTCTAAAGAAATATAAATTGGAGTCTTATTCATTAATAAAATTAAAGATAAGAGTCTATGCTATAAATAATATTCATCGACACATCCAGCTTTTGAGTATCTGTTACATATAAAACAAAATAAAAACGTAGTAATTTTTTTTACCCTCATGTTGACCTTTTTGCACTGAAAATTAAGCATTTACCAAAAATAGGACTAGAGGCGCACTAAAAAAATTTTCGATGTTGTCATGTGTAAACACTTGCTTTAATAAGTCTACTTGCAAAAAATAATTAAAATCCATGACATGCGATGTGCCGCCCATTGCCTGGTTTTTCGGTGGACTGCCTCTTAATACAATACTGCCTGGTTTTTCGGTGGACTGCCTCTTAAAATTAAATATCAAATAAGCTTTTTAAGAAAGATACTACAAATTTTCTACATGTACTTTAAGTAATGATACAAAAATGAAATTGGATAGAAAAATGCCCTTTTGCCAGTGATTTTACAAAATGTTGTTTTCAATAAAATATATAGAGAAAAAATAGAATTATTATTATCTTCGTTTTTGGCACAGATCTGTACCAGCGAAACCCTGTTGTTGATGGCCATTTACAAGAAAGAAAATTTTTCGACTTCCATTTTAGATAAAGAATCAGTTGTCAATAATATCAAAACAACTATTTTTTAATTAATCATAATGAAGAATGATTGAAGAAAAAACAATGTAGAAAAATCTTGCATTTTGATGCTACTGAGTTTTGAATCCACATCTGATTTACACCACTTCAAGAATTAGCGGTAGCACTCTGCGTCTGAAAGTTCTTCTTTACAGCAGTTAAAATTTTGCAAGGAGTAAATTATAAACTATTTATCTATTTTTTAGGACACAAATTACATAGTCGTAGAGATTGAGTAGAATAAATTACTTTTACCAGTTTCCAGGGGGGTTCTCTGTAGTTACATCAGTGCAAGAGGTCATGCTCTTGCTTACCAAATCAGCTCACTTTTTGATCTCAGTCTCACTTTTCCACTTTTCTTAAAGTCGTTGGATATTCCCGTTTATCGTTTGTTGTTGAAGTTTTATGAATTACTATGTGGTATCTTCTATACGTTCACTGAGATATATCGAATCAACATTTATATAGATGGAATTAGTTATTTAAATATGAAGTCGATGTTCCTATAATTGTCGAGTTGAAGGCCACAGCATGTGATTTCTATTTTTAGTGTAAATGTTAAAAAAAAGATTATGCTTCATATGAATAACAATTGGTCTACTATATTAAGAGAGAGCAATGAGTGCTTCTTGAAATTTCGACAGATTCTTTGAAGTTACGATCTCTAAAATCTAAATAGATATTGTTAATCTATCAGAAACTCGAGCATCTTTATAATTATTATATATCGTTTTTGGAGTACTTGTGTGTACCATGAGAATGTTTTCAATCAGCCACATAATTCTAATATTTATAAAATTTTAACACCAGAAAAAAATCTAAAAATGGGGATATCTGAATTTTGGTCCTCTGAAAGGAAGAGATTAATGACCTCATTATTAAAGCTATTTACATCACCAGTTATGATCAACAGGATTATAGTTGTACAGGGCGATGGGGAAAACGAACACTTTGAAGAATTATTATCCAGATGTTCGATATCTAGGCCCTTTGTGTTTCCCTAATTAAATAGTTTGATTTGAATTAATAAGTCGATGTATATTTGGAAGAAATACCAATACAAGATATGGACTTGAAGTATGGAGGAATGCAAGGCTGGTCCCAGTATTAACTGTTAATTCCTAAGTAAGAAACACACGGGCTTGTTTGAGCAATACCTTCTTCCATAAAACGTGACGGTTTAAAAGCTTAAGCTTATGGTTTGTAACATCAATAATCACAAATCCGTGTCTGTGTATATGGAAACTGAAATATGATACTATGCAACAACAAAAAAAATGATGGAAAAATTATAAATATTTAGAAACACCTGGCCCCAAGACCATGAACTGAGAACAGACTTAACTCAAAATTTCAAACTATTATAACTTTTGAAATAATTTTGGACATTGAAACAAAATTTTCATCATATATTTGAAGTGAAATATTACACAACAATGCAAATTTGCAAGCAAATACATTAAATAAAACTCAAGATATTAAAAATCATTATCATAACTCAAGTCTGTTGTCAGTTTATGGTCTTGGGGCCTGGCATGGCCTGGGGCATGACACATCAAAATCTTTACGTTGTGCTCAAATGCTGCAAATTTCAAACAGTCAAAATCAAAAATATTTATCAATATTGCATCAGCAAAGTTCTGTGAACTACTAATTTCGAAATTAAGTTGACAATTAATAAGCATTTTACAGGAAATTGAAAATTTGAATTAAGTCTGAGTTTGTTTTATGATCCTGAGGCCTGGTGTGTTTCGTGATTGTAGTCGAGAAATTTCTTTTCGTGTTTTAGGGTCGTAACTTTTATGCTGGTGTTGCATGAAGGTCAATAGATAAGTACTCCTGGTATTTCACTTGTGTTAGTTCAGTTCCTGATATTGGTAGAGAGAAGCACTCTAATAATGACTGTGGAAGGTAAAGTCTGTTTGATACCTATATATACTGTGGACATATTAATCGCTAGAAAGCGCTTTTGTATTTTACTAAAAAGTAAAATCCGTTGATATTATATGAAATGAAATCGTTGACACACACCATCACTGTTTTATGGTTTATTATATAGAAGGAATATATGTATCATTATGATTTGGCTCCTAGGGTTAGCGTTAGGGTTAGCTAGCTCGAGTGCCAAGGGTTAGGTTGCTAGGGGCATGGTTATAAAATGATAAGGTTGGGTCTGTTAGGGTTAGCATTAGGGTTAGGGTTAGCGATAGGGTTAAGGTTAACGCTAGGTTTAGGATTAGCGTTTAGGGCTAGCGTTAGGTTTAGGGTTAGTGTCAGGGTCAGCATTAGAGTTAGGGTTAGGTTTAGAGTTATCGTTAGGGTTAGCGTTAGTGTTAGGGTTAGCGCTAGGTTTAGGATTAGTGTTAGGGTAAGGTTTATGGTTAGCGTTAGGGTTATCGTTAGGTTTAGAGTTAGGGTCAGCGTTAGACACCATCACTGTTTCATGGTTTATTATATAGAAGGAATATATGTATCATTATGGTTTGGCTCCTAGGGTAAGCGGTAGGGTTAGCTAGCTTGAGGGCCTAGAGTTAGGTTGCTGGGGTCATGTTATAAAATGGTAAGGTTGAGTCTGTTAGGGTTAACATTAGGGTTAGGGTTAGCGATAGGGTTAATTAAGGTTAGCGTTAGCTTTAAGGTTGGCTTGAGTGTTAGGGTTAGTGTTAGGTTTAAGGTTTGCGTTAGTGTAAGGGTTAGTGTTTAGGTTTAGCGTTAGTGTTAAGGTTAGCGTTAGGATTAGTGTTAGTGTTAGGGTTAGGTTTAGGTTAGCGTTAGGTTTAGGTTTACATCTTCGGTTTAGGGTTAGGTTTAGGATTAGTGTTAGTGTTAGGGTTAGCGTTAGTGTTAAGGTTACCGTTAGGTTTAGGTTTAGCGTAAGTGTTAGGGTTAGCATAAGGTTTAGGGTTAGCGTTAATGTTAGGGCTAGCGTAAGGTTTAGGGTTAGTATTAGGTTTAGGGTTAGCGTTAGGTTTAGGATTAGCGTTAGGGTTAGCGTTAGTGTTAGCGTTAGGGTTAAGGTTACGGCTAGCTAGGGGCTTTAAGTGTTTACATTTTCTTATATTTTATTGTCCCATCAATTCGATCGTGATATAAATAATCTTTACACTGCTTTAAAATTAGGTTTGCTGGAACGTCTGAAGAGTAAGAAGGACATTGTAGTAGCAGAAGGATATATTTTTGAATTTGAGCGCCGAGGCTACTTGAGGGCGGGATGTTTTGTTCCAGAGGTTGTGCTTAATCACCCGCAGTTGGTCCGGGCTCTCTATGAAGAATTCGTCCATGCAGGAAGTGAAGTTGTACTTGCTTTTACTGTAAGTGCCAGAAGCAATAGGTAACATTGAAATTCAAATGCGTATTTTCAGAATTTTCACAGGAAGTGATTAAAGTTTTAAGGCGTGTGAAGAAATTATCAATTTGTTGTTTTTGCTGAAGAATTTAAAGGTTGCTTACAAATTTTTACACTACGTTTAATTTGTTCTTCTCTCTTTGCTTATTATAAAACTTTGTTTGTTTTAAACAGTACTACGGGCATCGAGAAAAGTTGAAACTGATTAACCGGGAGAATGACCTGAAAGAACTGAACATTAAAGCTCTAAAACTTGCCAAAGAAGTTGCTTTAAAGACAGGGACATTAATGGCAGGGAATATTTGCAACACGACTGTATTCGAGCGCGGAAACCAAGAAGCAATTGATACTGCTAGAAAAATGTTTAAGGTTCAGTTAATCATGTTAATAAACGCAAGCATTTGCAAGTCTGGATTAAAAGTTCTTATATATAAGCACTTAAAAATTGCTTATTTATTGCCCGGTCCTGGGGACCATGAAACTTAGACGAGCTCACTTTTGATCTCAGTCTCACTTTTCCACCATATATTCCTTTGTAAAAAGTGAGACTAAGATCAAAAGTGAGCTCGTCTAAGTTTTATGGCCCCCAGGCCGGCTGTGATCGGTCGGCAGGGGATGCTCACTCCTCTTTGGCACCTAATCCCACCTCTGATGCTTTGGAGGTCCGTGTTAACTCTGCTCCTATTTTGTATTGTTTAATGGACTTTTGAGATTGAATACTGTTCGATATCTCTATATCTTTCATCATAACTAGTACAATCTTCTGTTCAGGAACAAATAGAGTGGGCCGTTGAATGTGGCGCGGACTTCGTTGTAGCAGAGACGTTCAGTGAATATGCCGAAGCTGAACTGGCACTACAGTGTATTAAGCAATATGGAAAAGGACGTAAGAATTGTCAGAAATAATTAAAAACAAATAGTATATAGCCAGAATACTAATGGAAAAGTTAAAATTAAAGAAAACTGAAGTGAAAGAGGTGTAAGGGGGGGGGGGGGTCATTTTAGACAATGATTTTGAAAATCGGATGAGATAATTGATATACAATGACCTCAAGTATTTTTTTCATTGTTTAGTACCATCAGTGGTGTCCATTGTTCCCCATGGTAAAAATACCACGACAGATGGACTGACATTTCCTGAAGCTTGTAGAAAGCTAGAGGAGGCTGGGGCGGATGTGGTAGGACTCAACTGCTGCAGGGGCCCAAAAACCATGATGCCTCTCATAAAAGACATAAGAAAAGTTTGCAAGGTATTATATTTGTATGTATTATTACATTGTGTTTGGTAGTTATTAATAAGAATTATCAATCAAATTTAATTCACTTTTGTTTTGCATATTTCAATGTAGAAGGATATAAAAATTGATTTTCCCGTTTCCTGCTTATATGCAATTAAGGAATCCATTTTTTGTATCTATTTGAAGGGACCCATTTGTATGCTACCAGTGCCTTATCGTACCACAACAGAGCAACCCACCATGCAATCACTCAAAGATCCAGAGACAGGTATCGTATTTAAAAAGAATGAAAAAACTTCTGAAGGATTTAAAATACCCTATGTAACGAGGTTCTTTTAAAAGACTCTTAAAATAAATTTCATTTGTGTCTGATGATTGATTGTCTGGTGTGTTTGATGATCATAATGTCTGTTGAAAAATTAGATATGCTTTATTAGATTAGAATCAAAGGCAGGCATTCAGGGTTATAAAGGAAAAGTCAGCATACCTGAAGAAGGCATCCATGTTTTACCCCCAGCTCAATATAAAATTATTTTTTACTCTTTTGGGGTTTTTCACACTCAAAATTACATTATTATGTTAATAAAAAGAACTTGTTAAATTATGTTTTTTTAGGAAAGAGTGCATTTCCGTTTGATCTACCAGCGTTTGCATGCAGTCGTACTCAGATTGCCGAATTTGCTCGAGAGGCAAAAGAAGTTGGAGTGCAGTACATCGGTCTTTGCTGTGGAAACGCAGCGCATTACATCCGGGTAGTGGCGGAGGAATATGGAAGAAGACCCCCAGCAAGCAAATTCTCGCCGGATATGTCAGAGCATTTTATCTTTGGGGACAAAAAGCACGTGAAAAGTTACCACGCTACAAGTCTTCTGCCTGATATGTAGTACATGACCTTAACTCATTAAATCAATAATTTTTAAAGGGTCAATATCTAGAGAACCTGATCTTTTAATTGGCGTCATTATTTCATAAATATAATGTATTTTGTTGAAGATTATGCCGGGCGATGGGTGAATCATCAGCAAGAAGACCTTTCACGTTGTCAGAAAGGATAAAAAGTATCAGATATACGAAAAAAAAATCTCACATTAAGCGATTTTCAGGTATCTACAAGTGATAATCAAACTTTAACCCATGCTCCCTTTTTAAGGAGGAAAATCTTCAAAATTATACGTCAGTTTTGAATATTTATAATATTCCTAACAAGCAGAATGCATTTGGATTACCATATCTATATTGGAGTCCAAAACTTTATAAAAATCCTTACATACAAAGATACATGGCGGGTCCCTGTAAATTTTCTACCAAGCCTCTTTCTTTATTCCTGACTAAAATATTAACGGTTATATAGGAGAACTTCAAGAGTTCTGTGCAACAATATATTCGAGAAGTGGTGTAAATCAGACGTGGCTACTTAAAATTTCCAAGAAATTTTTGGACAATTTGAAATCATAAGACCTTACCAAAATCAACATCTTGAAAAATTACGACTTTTCAACTTTATATTCATCATTCAACCATTCCCCACGATAAATAAAAGTCCAGGCTTTTTGTTATCATTGACAGTTGTTGTTTTTTTTTTTTTTTTTTTTTTTTGATAAAGATGGCATTTGTTGAATATTTTTTTAAAAAAACATTCTGATTGTTTACACAAGTTAATTATCAAAAAGATGCTTGAGTTTCTGATTGACAATATCTACGTGATTTTTTGAGACTAGGTTCTCCAACAATCTATTGAAATTTCCATGGGTACCAATAGCGCTCCGTTATTAATAGACTTATTTTTGTTTTCATATGAAGAAGACTTTCTCCAAAACCTTTTTAACTGAAAGGAAGAAAACACATGCGGTGTCCTTCAACTCGACATTTAGATATATTGACGACGTATTGTCAATTAACAATGGTTATTTCCATTCTTATGGCGATACCTTATATCCCGGTAAGCCTGAAATAATAGATACCACAGAGTCTGACACATCTGTTTCATATTTAGATATTTTACTTGAAAAAGACGTTAATGGCAATCTAACAATCAAGTTTTATGACAAACGAGATGACTTAAACTTTTCAATCTTCAACTTCTCTTACTTTATATGCAGCAATTTATCTTCATCACCTGTATACGACGTTAAATATCGATACGCAAGAGCATGCTCTACGTATTAAATTGCGGAAAAGTATTGTAGAAATTGTAATATGCAAAGTCCTTTTCCTTGATTAACACTAGAATAATAAGATAAATTGTAATAACAAAATAAGGACTTTTTGCTATAACCATACATAAACAATATAAGTATACATGTAGTACAACTACAATTATCTACAAGAAGACGTGAATTTTGAAATAAAGGTATAATTAACAAAATAATTCTATTTGTTCTGTTGGTCCTTGAGACAAATATATATTTTAAAAATATTTTAAAACATCATTGGAAAATATTTAAATAATTTTGACATGTTCACACTTTTATCTTTGAAAAAATAATGTAATATTTTTAAGAGGAATAGTCTTTGAAATGTTACAAGTTAAACGGCAGATATATTTTTTCAGTCTCCATAAGTCTAATCCAGAATTGTTCTTGACCTTTTATAGCACAGGTTTACACGTTTTCTTTAACAAAAGATTTGTGATACTAATATGATTCCATTATCTTTTTGTACAAAACATGTTTGAAACATAAGTGCTACAAAAAGTGATATATAAATACCCTGCATTTTTTGAAACTTCTCAGAACATAACTAAAAATAACATCGACTTTCCAGATCTGTGTAAATTTTTAAAAGACGGGATCGTTTTTGAAAAGCTCTTCAGAAGTGAATAAGTAGAGAGACACAATGTGATTGTGGAATATCACTACATAGGTAAGGAAAGCTGACGATGGAAGAGCTAAAGTCATTTTGTTTGTCATGTGATTAACATTCAAATATATAAAAGTGAAGAAAAATTTTAACATTTCAAATTTTAGAGAAGAGTGATCAGCTGATTAAGCTTTAATTATTTTTTACCTATTTTGATGCCTCTATTTTAGGGCGAAGTTTTATTTATTTAGCTCAAAATTTTTATGTTATTTTCCGATCATGAAAAGCAACATTTCTGTTTGATGTTTTAACTACAGATTTCTCTGGCAAAATTAACACTTTATTTTCCGTCTTTCTCTCCCTTATATGGTAAAATGTTTTGTTTGATGGGCTTTAGAGCATCAAACTGCTGAAAATTTCACATATATTTCAAATTTGTGAAAAATGATTAATTTGAAAAATCTTTTTAACATCTATACATTGATATACACTTGGGTTTAAAAATCGAAACTTTAAATATGTAAATTGATTTTAAAAAAAATCATTTGAAAATCGTTATGCAAGTTTTTTCTACGTATAATTTATTTTCAAAAATTATAGATCGAGTTTAATACACGTTAAGGTATACCTTTACTCAGATGATCAAAAATTCCATTGATAAGAACGAAAAACCACCTATTGCACATTGCGCGCAATGATACTGTGTTAATTTCAAAAGATAACTGTCAATGTTTTTCATTTTGCATAAAAAGATACTACCATATTTCACACTATAATTTTATATTACACACAAATATGACATCAATAATTTTAATAAAATGAAATATTATAGCAATCCGAATTTCGTTGCTTTTCATATAAAGAAATTTTTAGGATTTATTAGTTGATTTTTATATACACTGAATTTCCCTATATTTAACTTTTTCCAATTTTCACATATACAAAAATTGTCACATAAAGGTACAAAATGATACAAAAACTTTTAAAAGTTTTGATGGTATTAATATTATAGAGAAATAACAGTTTTTTATTACTGGAATGGTTTTTGTCAATTTTTGAAATTCTTTATTTGAAGCATTTAATTAAGCCAAATAATTCTAGTAAGTGTGAAAAACTTATTTATTTGATATATTTTAAAAAACATTTATCCCTTATTGATTAATTTAACTTACATTTGAAAATTTTTCAAGTCTTGAAAAATTAAAAATTATAACTAAATTCAATGTTCTATAATAATTTTAGAGGCAGTATATTTTCTTTAATTAATAAAATATTAAAATTTTTAATTGATTTAGATTTCAAACACATTTTACCATTTCAATTTTTATTTATATAGTTGTATAAAATTGTAATGATCTGAAAGAAAAATATGGCCTTTTAAATCTTTCTTACATCTAAATATAAATAATATCAACAAATCCATCTCAGAAACCAAGAAGTATATTTTCTTAATACTTGTACTGATAAATCTACAAAACGTTAAGAAAATGACATTACCTGATTAAAGTGATATGTTGATAAGCACATTATATATAATATTGACATTCACGGGAGCCCATATACTGGGACTTATGTGCGACGGAATAGGCTTATAATGGCAGTAGAAGGTATAAATTATTGGTTTATCATGTCTAACTAGGAAAAAAATCTTTTTAAAATTCTGGAATTTCCATGCATTGGTTAGATATATGTAATTAACGTTCGCATATAAAAGAAAATTCGGAAAATAGTTAAAAAAGTTTTTATATTGTTTGTTTTTATCGTTGTGCAATGTTCGGGCGGTTTGGGTATGGAATAAACTGTGTGCTGATAATAATAGAATTTTAAAATTCATTCTGATCTTTAATAATAACCTTAGCTGAACATTTCCTTACACTTTTTACATACACTGTCTTTAAAGTATCATTACATTTCAATAATTTTATACTCTGTAAAATGATCGATTTTCATGGTTGAACAGATTGTATGCAAAACATAGGCAGGTCTGAAAAAATGCATGAAATGGACGTTTTACATATATAATTTTAACAATTTTCATAGACTTGAAATGTAATCATATTATTTAATAGTAAACTTATTATAGACAGTAAAGTAAATAAGTTTACTAACCAACTGTACGAAAATTAACGGTGAACCAATTGCAGTGAACGTAATTATTCATGAACTACTTATTATCTTGTTTGAATAAATTGATCGTGATACTGGTTCAATGAACTTCTTACTAAAGGAATTGATCAGAACAGATCAGTCAAACCCGTCAATATAAAATGAAAGAAATGTTTGAAAATGCAAGTTACGATTGAGATTCTTATAGCAATAAAATTGAGAATTTTGAAGTAGATACATGAAAGTAAAAGGACTATGGGCTAAAACTCCTGTGGTGTGGATATTTGGACTGAACACATAAATTAAAATTAATGTAGATATACCTTGATTGAAGGGTGGTACCATGTTGGGGTTATATGTTGTAAGATCGACAGTCAATAAAAATATTTTATATATATTCGAGACCATGAATACTAATGCACCCTCTCAGAATAAGATACCTTGGAATCTCTGGCGTTTTAGACTCGCGATCGGGGGAACATTTGAATCCTTGAAGACTTTCTTTTAGACGTTTGTAGTGCGAAAATACACATGCCCATACGACCCTTTGGTAAATGAAACTGTGTTTTAAGATGGCCTTAAAAAGTACTCCAGTTAGTTTAAGTTTCAAAATTTTCACTTTAGTTTTGTTTCGAGAGAGCATGGATTTTATCCAAAGTTTTTGCTTTTATACACTGTGCTAATGTACTAAGAAAGGTACTATCAAGTTCCATTTGTGATGTTTAATTTTATATTTTTCATTTGCAGGGTTAAAAGCACGTCTGAAGGAAGGTCAAGACATCATCGTGGCTGAGGGTTATTTGTTAGAACTAGAGAGGAGGGGGTATTTACAAGCTGGAGCATTTATTCCGGAAGTCGTTTTGGAACATCCAGAGGTTGTCAAAGCTCTTCATGAAGAATTTGTACACGCCGGAAGTGACGTAGTCGTGGCTTTTACCGTAAGTTTCATGAATTGTTTTATTTCGATTTTGTTTATGTTTAAATTGAGAGTTGGAGAATCTGCACTATTGTACAACCCGTGGAAGAAGGTTTTCAACTTGAAATTTGTTAAATGTGTATTGAAGCATGCCTTTTTGCCTACGTATTTTCCGTTTACCCAATGAAAAAGCACAGGGCAGGTGTGACAGGTCGACAGGGCATTCTTTCTCATTCATGGGACCTGAACCCACCTCTGATGATCTAGAGTTCCATGTTTGCTCTGTTTCCATCCATATTTCTTGTTGTTCCAATGAACTTTAAAGCTCCCATATTTTATGAATAATTCTATTAATAAGATTTTTCCGCATGTAGTTTCCTTTATAAATTGTTTGATTAAAGTTTTTTCAGGCCTTTCAGACTTTTTTTCTTACATTATTAACAGTATTATGGTCACCGAGCGAAGCTTAAAGTCATTGGGCGAGAGGATGACCTGATGGAACTTAATTTACGTGCTCTGAGGATGGCCAAAGAAGTGGCTGTCAAAACTGGAACGTTAATGGCGGGGGACATTTGCAACACCAATATATTCCGTAGCGATGATCCAAATTCTGTAGAGGAAGTCAGAGAGATTTTTCGGGTGAGATGAAATGCAGAATACTATTAAAAATACACTGTATATAAATAAATTTTTTTATAGATAATAAATAATATTAAAAAAAGAGTAATTTGATTTTTTTTTTAATTTGCTTTCAAGGAACAAATCGAATGGGCCGTACAGTGTGGGGCGGATTACATCATAGCAGAACGGTTCCACGAGTTTGCCGAGGCCAAGCTGGCTCTGGATTGTATCAAAGAGTATGGAAATGGCTGTAAGAAAGTATGAGATTTGAATGAGAATCAAAAAGCTACAAATGTAATTTTAATCGTAGTATTTACATTTTAAAGTTGAAGATTTACTTCATCATTCAAAAAATAACATTTGAATTAAAAATAACCGGTTACAGTTGTATCCAAGTTGGACAATACTTCTTTTTCACATCAAAATTTTTATACTTTTACGTTTATAGTACCAGCGGTGGTAACACTGGCACCCCATGAAAAAGATGAAACCAAAGACGGTCTTTCTTTTCCGGAGGCATGTAAACGTCTAGAAGAAGCGGGTGCTGCTGTTGTGGGGTTAAATTGTCTTAGAGGACCCACGACAATGCTTCCTCTACTGAGAGAAATCAAGAAAGTGTGTAAGGTAATCAGAAATATCAAAATGGCACACACAGGTACAGATATTTTTTTTCAATTTTCCAAAATATTTAGATGTTTTCTTTCGTGTTGTTAACATAAAAGACAGCTTTGGTAAAAAAAAAAAATATATGGGCAAATAAATTTTCTGGACTTTGTTCAAGAATTTTTACTAGATTAGAAATAAATTGCATGTCAAAACATGTCAAATACTTGTGACATAATACAGGTGTAGATCAATTCATCAATAGGTTGACTTCACAGAGAAGCATATCTAAAGATGATAAAAACAATCGTTTTTAACATCGATATATCTCTTAATTAAGCCAATCAATAGACTATATAATTACGATTTTGTTTTTGTCTTTAAACAAATTTTAAAAAAAATACATAAATAGACTAAAGATATCTTAGGTAGGAATATTAAGCATAATAAACATATTCTTCAGCTTGGGTTGCGTTTTTTGTAATATTTGATTTATTCAGAAAACACGGCATTTAAATATGAAATATATTGCTTTTGTGTTAATTCAAGTTGACAAATTGAATTTATGCCAGTGACGTTTAATGAATAAATCATATATTTTTCAAAACGATATTTCTTTTTATAAACATTGATTAATCATGTCTATCATTGGATGTGATAAGCCATTGGACGTTTTACTACAAAGAACATTGATGACAATTTAACAACTTTTTTATGCAATAAAAATGATTTTAAGAATTTCTCCCTTTGCCCAATAATGACATATGGCAGCGATGTTTGCTTACTCCCTCATCGTATTTAATCCGCCACTGATGTTATAGGAGCCCAAATTTTGATCTGCTCTCAATTTGCAATATCTAATTGGATATTAAGTAAGAATACTCTTCATAATATACAAATTTCGTTAGGGAAATGATAAATGAAGTATATGAAGTTAACGAACTGTATTCAAGCTCAAAAGTCCATTAAACAGTATACAAATTTGGAGCAGAGCAAACACGGACCTTCAAACATCAGAGGTGGGTTAATATCATCAAACTGTCTTTTGTATTCGAACCAATCACAGAAATATATCAAAGTTAGAAAAGTAATTGTAAGTTGGATGATTGAATAGATTAAAAAATACAGTTTGAATGAGAATTAATTATTAATACCTTTTTTTATTTGGTCTTTTATTTGTAGGATCAGAATATTTTTCGTAGATAATTATTTTGTTATGCGCAAAGTCGTTCGTTAAAGGGAAAACTAGGGATATCTTTTTAATCAAAATGTATAGCAAACAGGCATGCGTGCTTACATAAATGTACATCAGAAAAAAATGTTAATATAACAAAGAGTAAAGAATTTCAATTTCACAAGTCAAAGTAACTCGGAAAAATATTTTATCCTTGTTCCATAATATTTTACGTTAGGGTACCAAAAACAGTTACGTTAGGATAACAAAAACAGAATTATATAAACTAATGTTATGAAGGTTGCTACATAATATAAATCTGACTTTGGTGACCGCACTGATAACTAGTTAAGAGTCCTCAGTTTGATAAAATGTTTTCTTTTGATGTAAAATAATTTCTTTTAAAATAAAACACATACATGTTTTTAAAAAAAATGTTACCATCAAGAAAACAAACCAGTCGATTATAAATAAAATTTAATGGAAAAAAAATAAAGTAGGATCGATTTGAATATTTCGTTTTTATTTGGATTACGCAAAAGGAAATGATAAGATAGAGTTGAAGTGTTTCATATCATGGCATTTCAAGTCCTTTTGTTTTTGAGGACAAAATGCCCCGCAGTTTCAGATCAGGTAGGTCTTTATCATAGAATTATCAGTACTTTACCAGCGTTTTGTTTGGCCGATTGCGATAACACCATTTCATGTTTCTGGGTCCTTAAATGCGTTGATTCAGATTTGCGCATTAGACACACTAAGTGTGAGCGTCCTAGTAATTTGTTAATTTTTTTTCATAAACATTTTTAAGATAACAATATTTCTTTCATCAAAGTGAATGCCTCATTATGCCCCTGTGTTAGAAGATTCGAAAGTATATATATATATTCGGCACATTGTCCGTCTTTCTAAAACATCTTGGGAAAATTTTTGAATGGTTTGAGCTGAGGCATGCATGTTTTATATTTTTATATCTTCCGACAAGAGCCCTCTTTGCATACCAACATTTATTATTTTCATGTGATAGTGACTGCATTAGGTCACAATTACAAGGACACTTCACATAGTGTCTACCCTGCTTTGAGAATCATTTTGCACATTGTGAAAGACTGATGTAAAAACTGGTACAAATGCAATTGTATATGACTATGTTGTAAGAATTAGATATGGTTTGCAAAATTTGTAAGTATTTGGAGTAGGAACTAGGTCAAAATCAGGCAAATGAAACAATTCTATTAAATTAATATAATTAACATGCATAACTATATATAATATGGCTTCTTAGTGCCACTTTTACTTTCAGGGACCTATAGCTGCACTCCCAGTTCCGTATCGAACGACCCCTGAAGAACCAACATACGAGACATTGATTGACCCTGATACAGGTATTTCTGTCCTTTATGTTAGACTGCTTCTGTTAGAAAATGTATTAATAAAATTATTATTATTGTATATGGTTTGGACATACTTGTATTGCCTTTTTTGCTTACAAGTGTTTTGCATAATTTATCAGTGGTAAACGCTTGGGTATTACCGGTATGTACGTCATGACATTTAGAAGAATATTAACCTCAAATCTTCGTTGATGTCCCTTTAATAAAATCTACGTGAAATTCAGATTCCTATTTGAAGATAGAAAGGTGTGTTAATATTAGTTGTTTAGCATTTTACAAAGTCTTTGAAATCTATTTGAAACTTTTGGACAAGGCGTTTCAGAAATACAGATCTAAAATGTTACTTTGGAATGCTTCTTCCGTACCTACATGTAACTACTAGTTTTAAATTATATGATACACTATAGATTCATACATATATTTCAGGGAACTCTGCATTTCCCGTTGACCTCCCGCGATTTTTCTGCAGTACAACCCAAATTGCCGAGTTTGCAAAGCAAGCAAGAGAAATTGGTGTGCAGTACATCGGTCTTTGTTGTGGAAATGCTTCGCACTACACTCGGGTAGTGGCGCAGGAATACAACAGGCGACCGCCTGCCAGTAAATATGCACCGGATATGTCGAAGCACTATAAGTTTGGAGAAAAGGAGTTTGTAAAGAAGCACCATGATTTGTGACGCTTTAGTCCATTGCTTTATAATTCCTAAACTTTTTGGTCCCTGGATTACTGAAATGCCATTATCAAAATGAGTTTATGATTTCTAAGTGCTGTTCATTTTTTGTGTAATTTTCCCTGAACTTGGCAATGAGATTTGCAATTGTTTGCTTAGAATTTAAATAGAGTATACCAATATATCAAACAAAAAAAAAATTCATAAATCAAAGTAAAAAAAAAAATTCATTTTTTCTTTTTCAGATATAAAATTTGGTGTTTTTACATGAATATGCACGTGCATCTTAACCATTCTGGTTTATATCAGACGAATAATAAAGAAATTAATGTAAAATCTGAGTCAGGTATCTCCTGATTCGAAATGTACCATCGATATTTTTTTATCATTAGTGGATGATATCTTAACCTATAACGAAATTGTTATCATTTAATGGATGTTTAATTTTATCAAATAAAAAACATTTACTATAGCAACATTTTATCATTAGTTGCAACAATTCTGTATAAGGAAGTGATGTCTTTAGCCTCCTGTCTCTGTTGTTATAATGTATTTTTCTTTGTTTTAAAAGTCTCATTTCCAGCAATTAAGAGGTCAGCAAAACGTTTACGTATGAAAAAAAGACCTGGTAGTCTTTGACATTTGTCATTATATCGACCATAGAACTTACGTAATTGTGACTTTAAACGAGACTGTTGATATTTTTTGTTTCATCAACTTGTTTGTCAATAAATTATTTCGTTTTAGAAATAATTCATACGATGAGCATACTCTTGCGTTTTGAATCAATTAAGACATATAAACCTCGGAATCAGGGTATAAGGGCATACTGCTGTGAACCGGTAGTACGGAAAGTTGGTGATTGAAAGGTAAAGTCATGACGTTTGTCAAAAAGCTTGTTTGTTAGATTAACGTCTTTTTCTATTAAAATGTCGAAATATGTGTCAAACTCTGTGAAACATCTCTTCAAACTCACTGGGATTTATCTTGTGGACAACATATAAATTGGAATAACTATTGTTAATTGATAATACGTCGTCGTTATATCTAAATGTTAAGTTAAGAGCCAAAGTATGCGTTTTCTTCTCATGTATAAGATTTTTGATAAATTCTACTTTTAATGAATACAAAAAGAGGTCTTCTAATAACGAGGCGTAATTAGTACTAGAACCCATGGGATTCCAACAGAAGACAACAAAGACTGTCAATTAGAATCTCAAGCATCTTTTTAATATCAACTTCAGAGTACTTGTGTGTACAATCAGAATGTTTTAACAAAATAATATTGCTAATGACCAATGGAAAGATAAGTTAATTAACGAGTTTTATTGAAAAACAGCTGTAAATGATGCCAAAATGCCTGGAAATAAATTCTTAAGGGAAATAATTGTGTAAAAAAGTCTTAAAAGGTCGTTCGTTTTGATATTACTGACTTTGGTAAATTTTTTGGATTTCAAATTTTCTAAACGTGCCTTGGAGTTTTAAGTATCTTCATCTGATTTAACAACTTTTGGAATAAGTTGTTGCGTAGTACTCCTGAAGTTTCTCCACTGATGTTAATATTTTAGTGAGGAGTAAAGAAAGATTTGGTAGAACTTTTACTGGTGCCCGCTATGAATTCTTCCTTGTAATGATTTTATGAAGTTTCAAAATCCCATACAGATACCCGGGTAGTAATAACTGGAATTTATTTTGGTTGTTGGAAAACTGACAAATGGTTTTAATTTGATAGAGAATTTTTTTCTTTGAAAGGGAGCTATGGGTATAAGTTACCCAACTACTTTTAGAATCAAATCCAAATCTCTCTTTAAAATTAAAATAATGAGCCTTGCAAACAAAGGCAATGTTGTTACTAGCTTTGTCAGTAAGGACCATAACATACATGTACTGATCGTGCATTCCATCACTTGTTAGAAATGAAAATATTTACATAAATTTTTCATTTACAACTGTTAAGAATGTTGATTACTCGATAATTACAAAGAATTGTAAATTTCGCCAGGTGAAAAAGTCAAATGCAAATGGGTAATGTGCATGCCAATTTCACTATGACTTTTTTTTTACGTATAAATGAATATATAAGGAATTTACTTTCTATTTCGTTCGGTATAAGGGGACAGAGCAGAGCCCATTATGCATAAATTATCAAATGTTTAATTTCCAACTGTCGTTTATGTTCTTGGCAAATATACCCTACAAACTAGACAGTGATTTCTAATAAAAATACTTTTTTTGGCTGTTGGGTAGATTAATGACTGACCTTTTTCTTTTTAAAGAAGAAGAAAGATGTTATTTTTCAGGTTAAATCGTCTACAATTTCTTTCCGATCAATTAAGACAAATGGGTCGCTGTGTTTGTCACCTGGGGGACTTTTAAAAATTGTGCCTCTTTTATAATTTGCTGCTATTGTCGTAATCGTCAAAAACTGTGCGTAGCTCATGATTTCTAGAGCGACATTATTACATTAGTCAAATTTTCCTCCTATTAATTTTTAGAACTGACTGCAGTGATGGATAATAGTATTTCAAACTCTGATTGATTCTTGTTTTATCTCTTGAGCAATCACATTACGCCTTTTAGTAGCAAAAAATCAAGAACATGGACATCGCTTTATCAAATGCTCACTTAAATCAAATGGTGCTTCTCAACTGGAGAAATTAGTCTGAACAGAAAGGTTTGTCAAAGTTCTCACGGTCACCTGGCGTTGTAAGGCTGATATGATAGCTGTTGACCCTCTCATCTTTAGCTCTTTAATGTTGATTTATTTGGCTAAAGTGATTTTTTACACAGTCAATTTGATTCTAAACTTTACCTTGATGAAGAAATCTAAGCTACACATGACTTTTCTTGTCTGAATCCTGCTTCTTTTATCACCTGGCCCGCGTGGCGTGGCGCAGTGGTTAGAGTGTTGGCTGTAGAGTCATGGAGTAAGGAGTTGATCCTTACGTCGCTGGTTTGACTACCACTATAAGACGTGGAGATCGACTTTTCGGACATAATTATACCTGTCTCCATTTGCGTCTCCATTTGAATGAAATTTTTGGAGGAACCGGATATTGAACAACAAAGAAACATACGAATGAGTGGAGGGATACAATTTTTACCTATACTTAGTACTCAGAGATTTTGAACATTGAGGGATCATTTCGTGACAGCACTTACTGCGACACCGAACCTCGATTTCCACGTCCTTTAGTGGGATTTGAAGATGAACTCCTTATTCTGCGACTCTATAGAGCAGACACTCTAACCACCATGCCAAGCGGGTGACCCGTATTATGCGTATGTCACATGACTCAGTTTACTTAATATATGAATAAAACGTAATTGAAACCACAATATTTATATAATGTTTTGACAATTTGTTTGACTTTACCTTCTCGTATAAAAATATTTTAAAAGTTTTAAACTTTCTTTAAAAAAATTATGACATAAAAACAGGATCAGAACATGGTGGGGTATTTTGGGGAAAAGGGAACGCAAAAAATAATTTTACATGGATAATGACGAAAATCTTTTGTGGGTATGTCTTAAGCCTATTATATTCCCGCTCCGAAGAAGAGAGGGATGGTATACTGTTTTACCCACCCTTGTGTGTCCGTCTGTCTGTCCGTAACATTTTTGATCGCAGTTTTCTAAGCAATTACTCATTCCAGATGCTTGAAATTTTAGCACATATTTTGCTGAGGCATGCCATATAGTAGGATTCATTTTTGTTCAAATCCAATTTTAACTTTCTGTTTATCCGTGTGTTTGTCTGTACCATTCATAAAAAAATTTCGTCGCAGTTTACTAGCAACTACTCATCGCAGATGCTTGAAATTTTAACAGTTCCTTTGCCGAGGCATATCATTTGATGGAATTCATTTTTGTTCAAATCCGATGTCAACTTCTTGTTTATCTGTACATCTGTCCGTGCCATACATTACAAATTTTCGTAGCAGTATTCCCAGCAACTACTCATTTCAGATGCCTGAAATTTTACCACATATACGAGTACTTTGTTGAGGCATGAAATCTATGAAGATGAAACATATGGAGATAACGAACGGTATTCAAGATCAAAAGTCCATAAAATAATACTAATTAGGAGCGGAGCAAACACAGACCTCCAGAACATCAGTGGTGGGATCAGATGCCATGAAGGAGTTAGCATATCCCGCCGAGCGGTCACACCGCCGTGTGCTCCTTGTCATGATCGGAAAATAACAGAAAAATCCGTCGTCAATTCAGTGTATAAATGTTGGGCCAACAATTACATGTAGTATGAAAAACGTCAGTCAGCATTTGACTCAATGATAAATTATATTTGCTGACAAGGTCATTGTATCCATCAAAGAACTTACGAAATGATGACTTTAGGGAGTAGGAGACTGCTGATATTCTTGTTTTATCAACTTGTTTGTCAATAATTTTCCTCGTTTTAAAGGTGCATAGATACAGATTTGAAGTTAATATTTTCTTTTATTTTTTGTCCAATATCACGATTTATATATTGCAATAGCATTTCACACGAAAATATATTAAAAATCTCATTTCATCTAAAAGTTAATGAATATTTTGGACGGGTTTGATTGACACATCTTTGCACTTTCACAAATTTTAATTTTATTCTGAATACTTAGGAAAAGTAGCAATCTTGTTGTGTATTAATGAAAAATATTAAAACTATAATCCATAAAATTCAGAGTAGAAATGTTCGAAAGCAAAACAAACACAGTATATTGTCAGTCCGTGCAGATGTGGTGAGCAGACTTTAACAATTGAACACACCCGGTGAATCGTAAACCTTAACAATTACAGAGCTCGTGCCCTGTTTACAAATATTATGTACGTTTCACGGGTGTGTTCAATTTGCTAAACTTTCTACACAACACTAAGCGTGGAATGACGATACATGTGAAGGGGTTTGCTTTCGAACATTTATACTCTGAATATAATCATTTTTCTGGATTAAATATTTAACATTTTTTCAATATTTTTCAATAATACATAACAAAATTGCCACTTTTTATAAGTATTAAGAATAAAATTAAAATTCGTGAAAGTACAAGGATGTGTCTATCAAACCCGCCCAAAAAATTGGAGTTTCCATAACTATTAGATGAAATAAGATTTTTGATATATTTTCGTGTGAAATGCGATTACAATATATAAGTCGTGATATTATACAGAAAATATTAACTTCAAATCTGTGTCTATGCACCTTTAAAAATTGTTCAAACGTAGAGCATGCTCTTGCGTATCGAATCAACTGTGAAACTCCGTATGCAGGTAATGAAGGTATATTGTTGCGAGGGTTAAGGTTAGAGTTAGGCTTAGGGCTACCTGCTAAGGTAATTCTGGTCTGTTGAAGGCAAGAATTCAATCATGCCATGTATCTTCATGAGATATCTGTAGATATTAGTGTACCTTTCAATGACACTTGCTAAACCATCAATCAGTGGTAAGTATTTTCAATGCAAATGAT